TTCTGTACAACATGAAACTCCAGAGTTATTTAGACATGAGTCTGAGCAAAGCCATAATTAAACCCAGCTGAATTTTTTTTTTATTTGTGAAAGATTTGTAGAGTGTATACATTACAGAAAATAATTATAATTAGGCAGCCATTAAGTTAGTGAAGTTTGGGTTTTTTTAATGGAAACTCTTCTTACAAGTTGACATTTTCTTTACAGTATACATCAAAACTTAATTTCCTTACAATGGTACATTTGTAGAGGTAATAAGAAAATCAGTATAATATAGCTTTATTGTCCTAATGACACAGAGATGTGCTGTTTTTAAACATGTCATGACAGTATAAATCATGTAATCAAGAATGTATGTTAACTGAAGGGCTGTAAAACAACTAAAATATTGCATTATTTCTCAGTGGCTTAACTCTTGCATGTGAATTCTAGTAAATGTATTCATGTCTCCTTGTTCTTTTGGTATTAAGTACTGTAAGCTTAAAAAAGGGGAGGAATATGAGCATTAATGAACATTAATTTTGCCTAAATACAATTTTCTTGGAGATGGTGCATTTCAAAGTTGAGCCCTTAAGATGAGTATTCTCAACTTCCACTGACTTCAACTTGAGTCAAAGGATATCATAAGATAATACCTTCAACTGACATTGTTTTTGAAGTATTGTTGTCTTGTCCAAACTTCCATGGTGCAGAAATGATGCCCTTTATTTTTAAAGTCACCCACAGGAGCCCTTTGAGACTAGAATAAAAAAGATATTTCACTCACTGGATCATGCCAGAACAATTCTCTAGAGTCAACAGAGCAAAAAAACTTCAGCTCCCGATATTAAATATGGAGCCTTCCAAGTCCTGCCAGACCCTGAAGTCATGGATTCAGGCTTTGTAACCACTCATCAGGCTGGTATTGGAAGGAACTATGAAAAAAAAAAAAGTAACCCAGGGCACATGAGTGACAGGGGAGACACTCCTCCTCTACTCAGGATTTTCAGCCACAAAGCCATTTCTTTGAGTTAGGTGCTTAAACCAGGTTAGCCCTTTCTTGTGACACTCCTTCCCACACCCCCTGTGATAGTCTAATGGTGAGGGCCTTTAGCTGGTATGTAAGAGACTCATGTTCAAATTTCTGGATTAAAGAAGGGATCCAAAGCCAGTTCTCTTAAATCCCAGCTGAGTTCCCAACTATGAGGTCATAGGATATTCTGGGGTGGGCTTTGTGACAGATGTGTTTCTTAAGAGCATGTTACACAAACACTGTCAGGAATAGACTAGGTGGTAATGCTTAGTCCTGCCATGAGGGCAGGGGACTGGAGTAGATGACCTCTTGAGGTCCCTTTCAGTTCTATGATTCTATGGTGAATGCAAGTGTATCTTAAAAAAAAAATTGAAGTGGACCAGACAGATGAGTTTGCAGAATATTCATCCCCCTTTGTATTGGTAGAGGTTGTGTTGGTATGTTCCTAGGAGTGATTAATGTAAACATCCCAAGGCTAAGTAGATATCCAGCCTTAGAAGCTTGACCTCCAAGTGAATGGGGGAAGAGAGTAATTTGATCCGTTTTGGCCTGTTGGCAACTAAGCAAATCGTTACATATATGAGGCTAAGTTTAGACTCTCTCTCAACCTCTCTGATCCAATCCTTTGATTCTAGGGGGGCCTCAATCCTTGCTGAAAGTTGGAAAGACTTTGGCTTTGGAGCGCTCCATAGGACTGAAGAGCAATTGCTTTTCTATTCAGTAAGCATCTGAGACCTTTTATTGTTTTTAATTTATTTTCTCTATGGTCTTTTCCCCTTGTTGTCTGCTGCAAAAGAGCTGCATGGTAACTTGGAACTGCTGGCATGGTCATAGGCCCTGAAGAGAGGAACAGCAAAGGCACTAGCTTTAAAGCAGATTTCCTTGCTTGGAATATCACAGTGTATGGCAGGAGACTGTGCAGCATTAAAACCTCTAGTCAGAAGAGTCAGGTGATGGCTGGAGGCTTGAGACTTGATTGGTTACTCTTGGAATGCACCACGAAGTGAGGAATACAGAGGCAGTGACCCAGAAACTGAGACAAGTGTGACAGCTCTTTTCTTTGAATTTTTCTGCTTTGTATAAACAATTAAACATTCACAGAGCTAGAGTAAGTTGGAGGTTAGGGCACTCACCTGGAATGTAGTTGAATCCATTTCAGTTTGCACCAATCAATGTTCCTACAGCTCCAACAAGAGAAACTGAGGGAGTCTTCATTCAAACATAACCAGTAGCCTGGTGGTTAGTACACTCTCACCTTAGAGGTCAGAGACCCGTGTTCAAGTTCCTGTCCAATGAAGGTAAATATAAACAGGGTCTGAATCAATGCTTCCATTACAGCCAGCTGGAATGGGAAAGGAATGCTGTGGTTATGTGGTCATGTTCACTCAGTTGGCTTAGACCTGCTAGATATTCAACAGTTATGTAAATACAGTTCAAACTGGAATGGGAAAGGAATTCTGGGTGAGGTTACACAAATACACTTCACTCAGGTTGTTTAGGCCTGCTAGATATTCAATTGTTAGAATGGTTACAATAGGCAAAACACCAATTTGGCTATTGTGGGGTAACAAACTGGGTTAACCCTAAATGCAGGAGTGGTCAGATATGACCGCCAATGCTTGCAGTTATTGGGAAAGCAGAAAAGTCAGGCTCTGTTTTAATTCAGTTCAAAGGAGAGAAACTGTCAGTGTATACTGAACCCAAACCTTCTGGTGGCTGACTGCTACCGGAAGAAGGGTTACATAAGTGAGGAATCAACCCAAGACTTCCCATTTCTTAGGCAAATGCCTTAGCTACTGGGCTGTTGGATGTTCTGAGATGCACAGCTATTTGCCTGAAAACCCCCAGATCTCTCTGATGCAGAATCCAATCCAGGAATCCTGCTCAGAGCACACGTACTGTATTGAGCATCCAAGGGCATTGACACCTGTTATGTGCGTGTGGGGGGTGGTGCTACACATTCCTGGAAGGGACGGGGCCTGAGGCAGAAGGGGCAGAGTTGGGGCAGCCAGCTCTCCATGCAGCCCAGAGCAACACTCCAGCCCTCAGAGCCACCTGGAGTATACCATGCTGCCCCCTCAATCCTTAAAGCTGCCTGGAGCACACAGCAAGGCACACTGGCAGTGATTTAAAGATCCTGGGACTCTGGATGCTGCTGCCACTGCAGTAGCCCTGTGTCCTTTTGAGTTGCCAGGCCCTGGAGCCATTGGCTCCATTGTCTCTCCCCACCTGGCATCAGGCCTGCAAGCACCTCAGGCAAGGTATATGGAAGAACACCTAGTTTGAGAAGCTTGCTGAGGTTTTGATTTGCAGTAGGGCTCTAAAATTTTTGTGTGAGATGGCATCCACATTTAGGCATCTCTGCTCATGCATACTGACATAAACATAGGGGACTTTATGTGCCTGCAGGATTAGGCAGCAGCTGAGTGGCAATTCTGTGCGAGAATGTTGGTGGTGTCGACATGTTGGCTATAGCCACTTACGTACCTTTGTCAATCAAGCCCCAACTCCTAACACTTGTTTTTCAAAAACACTAACACTTGTTTTTCAAAAGTTAGAGATTAACACTGTGCTATCAAGTGTATTTGCTGTAGGGCACCAGCCATTTTCATATTTAGGTGTATTGTAGACAATTAACTAATGTAGATGTATGAATACAAAAAACATGTTAGAGCAAAAAAGTAGAATACACCTTAAAAAATCTTCCAGAACCATTGCTTCTGATAAAGAGTCATTCCCTCAGGCACATTTAGTCCCTTGGAAAACGGAAGATCTTTTAAAAAGTAAACCCCAACAGTTTTCAGGAGCTTTAAGCAAACTTACCAGTTCCTAATCTTGCCTCCCTGGACTGTAGCTTTCGCCACCACCAACATGCTCCTAGATGAGCCTCTAGAGAAGGCACCTAGGAAACCATTCTGTGGGACGGACAAACCTCCTTTTTAAAGGGGAATTTTATAACTAACAGCATAGTTCAGCTAACCCACAAGTGGACCAAAGTAACTTGTTGCCCCACTTCAGTCAGGATGAGCAGAATTAATTATACTATGCAACCAACAGCTGGTCTTTTTGGTATTTTATTTCTGATTCCTTAGGTCAGAGCATGGATTTTACATTAAAATGTTCTGATTATTAAGAGAACAATTAATGATTCATTTCAAGCTAAAGAACACTTGAGTGCGAAGTGGGAGGAGGGAGTCAAAAACTGCTAAAGATCTGAGTCTTTCAGAAGTACAGATCTGACAATATAAATGGTGAATCATATCTTCAAGTACACTCTAGGTACCACAAGTGCAATAAAGTAGATCCTATCTTCCTTATTACTCATATATTTTGTACAATATTTAAACAGAAGTGTGATACAATAGTATTCTGAAGAATATGGTAGGGCAATACTGAAAAAAAATGACATATTCTAGAAAAAAGATTATAAAAACCAAAATACAAATAAGCATTCCAATCCCTCACTACACCTGTGGCTGGAATTCTTTTGTAGATGATGGTTGTCTCTTCCTGGTTTATTCAATGTTCAGTAAGAACTGAAGTATTGACTTATGCTATTTTACAACATGGTAGAGCGTTCAGTATATATAATAGCTATACTAAAAATTTGATCCTATATTTATTAATTATTTTGTGCCTTAAAAAACATTGTCAACTATTTTTAACAAATTTACACATTAGACTCTACTCACCCAACACAGAAACTGAGAATGTTAAACATACGATTTAAGAATTACAAGGGCACTTGGAAATGCTCTTTTTTTTTAATCCATATTTGGCATGTGATTTACAATAATTCAATGATGAAGTGCATTTTGGAATTACTGAAGGCTTTACTGGGCAATGAGAGAGATTAAAGCAAAAATGAAACATCTCCAAGTCTAGACACTTTCCTGATGTTTTAATTATAATATGGATCCCCATTTAAATTGTATTTTTGAATTTTTTTGCCATATGTTAATTCACCTCCCAGTAATTTGTGTAATTATTTTCAGGCTTTGTAGCTAAATGTTGTCATAGTAACAGTGTAAAGTGATATATTTCTGGAAAAAAATGATTAGGCTTAGCAATAATTCTAGGCATGTGCTAAGTAAGTTCCCTCTACCCACTAGTCACTTTAATCATGGGGGGAAAACCTCTTCTTACAAATTACTCTTGCACAAGTCATCTTGTGGCATAAACTACTCAGTTCATCATCTTCAAAGACCAATGCATAAGTAAAATTTCCAAAATTCTGTGGAAATAATGGAGTCTCTGTTGTGGATGGGCATTCTGATTGCTTGCTTAACAGATGCTAAACATTGCAGCTTATACGATAATGCTCTTTCACATCATGAGCTTGTTTGAGGAGAACCAAAGGCTCATTATATAAAAAGTAGTTACCATCATGTGTGTATAGAATTGAGCAGAAGCACTGGTATTAATGCTTATGACAGACATGAAGAACATTGAAAACTTTGAGATGTGATGCTGCCAAAGATTTTTACGTCTCCTGGATAAAGAGGAAGATGAATGCTTATGTTAAAAATGCATAGGAGAGAAGTAAACCCTGCTATTAGATATCAACAATGCAAACTTGCATACTTTAGTCACATCAGGTGTAGAGATGAAAATAACCTCAAGAACATTGTAATGGAAGAAATGATAGTGGAAGGGAATTCATAGTAGGAAACAACAAGTGAGGAGATTGGTACATGGTGTGAGTCTTATGAGGTCCTGTACTAAGTGTTCAAAGCCAGTGATGGACTGAAAAGACTTCAGAAAATTGTGCTATGATGGCACAGACATTATTTTAGATATATATACATTTCATTTACTTTTTTGTGTTAAAAATTGCAGATAAAGTGTGTGAAATAATATATTTTATTGTACCAATTTCTGCTGGTGAAAGAAACAAGCTTTCAAGCAACATAGAGGTCGTCTTCTGTTCAAAAGCTTACATCTCTCGCCAACAGAAGGTGACCCACCAAAAAGGTACTATCTCATTCACCTTGGGCTCGTCTACACTGGCCCCTTTTCCGGAAGGGGCATGTTAATTTCACCTATCGTAGTAGGGAAATCCGCGGGGGATTTAAATATCCCCCGCGGCATTTAAATAAAAATGTCCGCCGCTTTTTTCCGGCTTTTAAAAAAGCCGGAAAAGAGCGTCTACACTGGCCCCGATCCTCCGGAAAAAGCACCCTTTTCCGGAGGCTCTTATTCCTACTTGGGGCCAGTGTAGACGCTCTTTTCCGGCTTTTTTAAAAGCCGGAAAAAAGCGGCGGACATTTTTATTTAAATGCCGCGGGGGATATTTAAATCCCCCGCGCATTTCCCTACTACGATAGGTGAAATTAACATGCCCCTTCCGGAAAAGGGGCCAGTGTAGACGTAGCCCCTGTGTCTCTCATATGCTGGGACCAAACAACTGCAAACAAAAATCAGAATATAATTCTGTGCTGGGATTTTCAGAAGAACCTAAAGGAAGTATTTATTTCTCAATGAAAATCAATGGGAGACGGGTTTCTTATGGTTTTGGATACTTAAGCCATATTCAGGCAGTTAAAGGAACAAAGTGACTAAGATAACAACTGGTAGTACAGACAGGAGGTAAGGTGGGACATAATTACTGTACATAAAAAGGAAAAAATATGGTACATGGATACTAGGATAATAGCACAACAATATGGGTGCCAAATTGTTCTAAGGCATGTTAATTATAGTCCACCTAGAACGGAATGAAAGCCTGGTCTGATAAGGTCTCCGAAACAATTCATCACCCCAACAGAAACTTTCAGATGACAGCAATGTAACTGATTTTATCAGAAATCCTTCCAGTGTCATGTGCAAATGAAGAAAAATGAGTGCTCCTGGAGAAAATAGGGGCATTGGTAGAGGAGGAGGGGATGAATTCTTCTGTGATCTTTTAGATTAAGTAGCTTCCACTTAAACAGAGACTATCCTCAGAGCGCCAGCATGAGGTGTGTGCAGTTGGTTCCCCCACACAAGCCCCATGCTTTATTACTTGAGATTTAGACAATTAATTTTATTACATATTAAAACAATAACGATTAAATGTTCAAATTATATTAAAAATACCTATATACATACATTTGTTTTGTAGAAGTAAAATGTTCCTCATGACATATACAAATAAGGTCAAAATACGTATGCCCATTTAAAACAAAGTATCATAACAAAGTCTGTAATGTGCGCGCTTGTGACAGAGGGTATGTCTACACTACCCCGCTAGTTCGAACTAATGTATGCATACCGAACTTGCTAATGAAGCCCGGGATTTGAATTTCCCGGGCTTCATTAGCATAAAGCCGGCTCCGCCATTTTTAAAAGCCGGCTAGTACAAACCCCGTGCTGCGCGGCTACACGCGGCACGGGCTAGATAGTTCGAACTACGTAGTTATTCCGAACTATCTGTACGCCTCATGGATAGTTCGAACTAGCGGGGTAGTGTAGACATACCCAGAGTGTACATATCTTGCACTTGGCCAGGAGGGCTTAATGTGCTGAGGAGGGAGGAAAATGCTGTCTCCCGACCACACTGGGCATGCTTCAAGTAGTAGAACAGTATAAAAGGGAGCAGCTCAGCTCAGTCTGGGCTGGATGTGAGAGAAGGATCTGCTGCAAGAGCTCCAGAGGTACCCCAGCCAGAGACCTGAATGACAGGAGCCAGAGACCTGGGAGACTGCATTGAGCCAAAGGAGCCTCAGGGAGAGGCTGGTGCTGGAGAACCAGGGGACCTGGAGATTATGTGGAGCACCCCAACACCAGATCTGGTAGGAAGTGACCCAGGGAGGGTGTGCTCCTGGTATCTCTCACCTGAGCGAACTCAGCGTGTTGCACTAGGATTCCCCGTTGAGTGAGTGGCAGATTACTCTGCTACTAATAAGGCCATAGGTCGGGGCCCAGTGAAGTAGGGTGGGTCCAGGCCTGACTCCACCCTCCACTGGAGCTACTGCCCCAAATTCCTGTGTTGCCAACTTTAGCCATTAGGTTGTGCTGCCTCGGGATGGGGCATACATACAACATGGCAGTGCTGAAGTTTAAAATACAGTAAAACATGTGTTATCTGGCACGCCTGGGGATTAGGGCATTACGGTTATCTAAAAATTCCGGTTATCTGGGGGCCCCATCAACTGAGGAAAAACCAATAGACAATAATAGTAAAACTCAAGTTTTTAATATTGGTAGTTTTGTAGTGTGAGGCAGTTGGTCTCACATTTCTATTTTGAGTTAAAGATGATTAGTACTTCTTAAATAAAAAATTGTTAAGCCAATCGTGGTAAACCAAGCCAGGCATGTGCGCCTGAAGATGTGACAGTATTGTGGCTGGGGGCAATCCTGGTTAACAAAGTTTTCTGGTTAACAAGAGTGCCGGATAACAAAGGTTCAAAGGTTTCACTGTATAGAGATTCACAGTGGGCTAATGGACATTTTGACAATTCTGAGTGTGTTAATGTGGTGGTGGAACATAGTCTAGTTAATGTTTTATAGTGAATTTGAATTTGTTTTGTTTTCTTATTCATAAAGGCATACCTATATAAACTGTGAGGAATAAAAATTGATATTTAAAAATAATTTAAAACAATAAAAAATAAAAAAATTCTAGTAAAGTTAATGTAAATAAATTGTTTAATAATTTTTTTTTACCATTATTTTTAAAAGGTCACTTTTTGTGCCACCCAGTGTGTGTGTGTGTGTGTGTGTGTGTGTGTGTGTGTGTGTGTGTAACCGTGCACACACGCATAAATAGGCCCTTACTCCTGCACTCGCTCCATATATTCGAACTCAGCCCTGCAAATGATCATGCCAGTACTACCTCTAAATTCAGTGGGACTTCGATTTGGCCCTACTGCAGTCACTGCTAATGAAATAGACTAAAGGCGTGTGTTTATTTTATTTAAAATATTTAATTTCAACTTCCTGCTGTGAGGATTCTGATGTTCAATTTAGGCAAGAGCTAGTTCAATCCTTTTGAAAATCAGCAGCCTCGCTACAGGATCCCTGCAGATGAATATCTCAAGAGGGATGATTAAAAGCTTCAATAATGTTCCATTAAATGTTCCTGCTTTTAAAATAAATGGAAACTTCATGGACATAAGAGATTTTACCTGTAGCCATTCATTTGGCACCTCATATATTTTTAAATTACATAGACCCCATTTTGTTGTTGAACCTTAAGGTATAAGACAAGAAAAAGGATTAAAGGGAAATACATATAATGACCAGTAAGATCAGTGATGGTAAGTTGTAAGATTCCAGTTCAAATTTTAATATCATTGGATTCTTGACTAGATTTCAAAGTGGTTTTGCTGTTGCATATTCAAATGATTAGTTGTCAAGAAACTGAAAACATTCTAAGTTTGTAAGAGATAATCTGATTTCAGTGTGTGGGGTTTTTAACAGTACAAATGGATTTTTTTTTAAGAACATTTAAAATAGAACTGTACTAAGTATTTGTAATGGAAACCCACAGCCACAAACTTCCTTGCTTATGTATTTAAAAACAAAATTCAGTATATGGTTTAAGATTCACATATGGTTTAAGATTCACATATCTTTTGAACTAACCCAGGTCTTACACAGAATGGATCAGGGCTGATTCATAGTTTTGTTATGCTGTTTCCTGTAAATGTTGATTTAATTTATTATTTGCGTTGTGATTGCACTGGCAGACCTCTATCACCCATAGCTCAGAATAAGCTACGCAATTTGAGCTATGCAAATTGCATAGCTTATTTTGATGCTATTTCTAAATAGCTTATTTTGAAATTTGGCACTGTCTGCACAGCACTTATTTTGAAATAAATTGCTATTGAGAAATGTCCCTTACTCTTTGTGGAATGAGGTTTATAGGGACATTGGAATAGTGAGAGAGTTATATTTCAAAATAATGGGTGCACTCAAAAGACATAGAATAGCTATTTTGGGTTACCAGAGGTATCTCGGGTACCTCTGGTATCCTGAAATTGATCTGCAGTGTAGATGTAGCCTCAGTGCCCTAATGTGCTAGATACTGTATGCACTCATAGCAAAAAGATGGTCCCTGCCCACACTTATTCTGTTATTTTTTGGGGGAACTTACCATGGATTTCAGTATGGAAATCAAATAAAACACTGCAATTCCTTTTCAATTTTGTTCTGAGTCTTTTGGCTTCATTGGATCTGAAATTCACAGGAATGGAGAGAACAAATCTGAATGAAATGAATGGAATCTAAATAAAATAAAAGTGTTCATATGAATCAATGTGAAATCACAATCACTGACTTCTTTTAAAGAATTTCTTTGCTCTAAAAGACCATGGTTATGTTATCTCATCCAGTTCCCTAGGTCACAAAGGCCATAGCCTGATAGAGTAAGTGAAATTTTCTAAACAGATAGAGATGGAAAGAACATTCTTTTGGCAATGGCTGTTTGGGTATACTGGAGTCTTAAGGAGTTGAAAGTACTCCAAGATTACAAATAACTGAAATCTTTGAGGGAATGCCCTAATATACAGTGAAATTGTGGAGAAAGCACATTTCTAAAAAGTACCTCCATCTTATTCACATTTGCTTTGTTCATCCAGTTGGTGATCTCAGCTAGGTATTGAGGAAACTCAAAGATGGTTCTGTTAATGCCTGATAGGAAAGAAATCACTTTGTGCTACAGAATGCCTAATGAAAAGCCCAGTTGTTCCCAGGAAATTATGGAACTAGGTGCCATCAGATTCTATCCTTCCAAGACAATATTTGATCACCAGATAAAGCTATTTCTGATTTTCCTTATATCCATCTAGACAAATGATGGAGAATGGTAGATTCTGCATGGCCTATCTGGGAATGAACATTTTAAGTCCCCAATTTTTCTTTGCCTAGGTGATATAGAATGGATTTATTCTAACTTTTCTAAAATCAGCCTTTTTGTTCAGATGTCTCCCTGTGACATATTTTCTTATTCTATGACCGAGATAAAAATGTTGGTAAATGGAAATATTTGAACTTTTTGGAAAAAAATCATGTGAAAGAGTTGTGATTCAGTAGTGTATCCAATTGTTGTAGCAGAGAAACACTTTGCTAAGTTGCCATGGAAATGGTTATTTAGCCTCTGGTCTAACACATTAAAGTCATGGTGTTCAGCAATGTGCTACCCTCAGATGATGCTGTGCATGATATTAACAAGCAGTTTGGCTTAGTTAATAATCATTAGTGATCATTCAAACTACAGCATGTTTCACTTTAACACAAAGAGATGCAAAACTCGTTGAAATAATTTGAAAAGGCAGTGACCTGCAATCATTCATGGTATCAGGTACCGATTAGAACTACATGATTTGCAACACCTCTGATTCTCTCAGGGTACGTCTAGACTACAGACTTTTGTCGACAGAGGCTTTAAAAGCTCTACATCCAGTTCTGTCAACAGAGCAAGCCGCTTTGTTGACATGAGAGTGTAAACACAAAGGACAGTATATATGCAATAAAGCCTTCTGTTGACAGAACTCTGTCGACAAAAGGCGTTATTCCTCATAGAATGAGGTTTACCACCGTCAACAAAACTGCCGAGTTCTGTCGACGTTGTATCGACAGAACTCGGTGGTAGTGTAGACGCAGGTATAGTTTTGTCGACAAAAGTCCACTTTTGTCGACAAAACCCTGTAGTCTAGACACACCCTCACTGGTCACAACCCATTACTAAAATAAATAGTATCAGAGAGGTTGCCGTGTTAGTCTGAATCTGCAAAAGTGGCGAGGAGTCCTGTGGCACCTTATAGACTAACTGAAGTGTAGGAGCATAAGCTTTCATGGGCAAAGACCCACTTCGTCCTACACATGCATCTGACGAAGTGAGTCTTTGCCCACAAAAGCTTATGCTCCTACACTTCAGTTAGTCTATAAGGTGCCACAGGACTTCTCGCCACTTTTGTAAAATAAATAGATTGAGCTCTTGAATCTCAAAGCTTAGAAAACATGCCTTGTAGTGAGGATGATTTTCTCGGCTCTTCTCTGTATCCTCCCCAATTTATCAACATCCTCCTTGAGTTGTGGCCACCGGAAGTGCACGCAGTATTTTGGAAGTGGTTGTACCAGTGCCAAATACTGAAGTAAAGTAACCTCTCTGCTTCTACTAGAGATTCTCTTGTTCATGCATGTGAGGATTGCATTAACTTTTTTGGCCACAGAACCACTTTGGGAGCTCCTGTTCAGCTGATTATCCACCACAGACCCTAGATCTCTTTCATTTTCACTGCTTCTCGGGATAGAGTCTCTCATCTGGTAAGTATGGCCTACATTCTTTATTCCTAAACGTATACATTGCATTTTAACATGGTTCAACATAATACTATGTGCTTGTGCCCAGTTTACCAAGTGATCCAGATTGTACTGAATTAGTGACTTATCTCCAGGTATGTCTACATTACAGCATTAATTCAAGTTAATTTAATTTGAAATAGTTAATTTGAATTAAGCTAATTTGAAATAACCCAGCTATACACAAAAACTATTTTGAAATAGCGTTTTGCTCTTTCGAAATAGCGCGTCCACAGTGAGTGGACCCTGAACCAAAGTTAAGGCTGGCCAGAACCAGTGCCAGAAGGGCATCAGGTTAGGACTTAGTGTGTGGGGCTGCTGCCTGAGGCTAACTGAGCTCCGTGCTTAAAGGGACCCTACCCCACCCCGGACAGACAGTTCTCAGGGTTCCCCACTTGCTTGTCTACCTCGATGAGGGACAGCAAAGCAGTCCTGTCTTGGAGTGCCCTGAGTGCCCGAACTCAGGACACCACAGCACTCGGCCACATGGAGCCAGAGCTGCCCCTGGGCATGCTGGTGTGTCTCGTGGTGTTGTTGCCATCAGCCTGGCAGGCTGCCATCCAGGGGTCCATCGGGAGGCTGTCAGGATCCAGGAGGCCCTGTGGGAAAGCGTCCACCCCAAGGAGCCCTCAGAGTCTCCCCGGTCCTCCCCACCAGGGGCTTGTGCCCCATTCCTTCCTCACGTCCTTCCACTTACCTCTCCCCTTCCTGATGTCAAACAAAAGACATGTATGTTCAAAAATAGAAACTGGGTTTATTGAACAAAACTGGGGAGGGGGGGATGAACCTCTGGGGAGACTGGGAAAAGGAGATGGGAGAGGGGAGAAGAGAGGGTGGGAGAGGGAAGAGGAAAACCTGGGAGGAGGGAGCTGGGAGGGGGAAGCAAGGGGAGGAAGGGGGAGGAGAAGCTCAGGGTTGGGGGTCTCGCTGGACCTACTTGATTTTCATGCAAACCTGCTCCTGGGTTCGCATGTGGCCTTTGGTGGCCAGGCTGGCAGCTATCTTGCCATAGATGGCTGTGTTCCTCCGTCTAGTGCAGAGATCATGGATGTTGGGGGCATCCCCCCCACGCCTGAATAAGGTCCAAGATCTCCACCCTGGACCAGGAAGGCGCCTGCCTTCTCCAACCCCTGGCAGGCTCCTGGGAGCTGGCAGACTGCTCCAGGGGAGCAGTGGAGTGCTGGCCGCCAGTGGCTTTTTGGT